AACAACAACAACAACAACAACAACAACAACAACGACAACGACAATGACTGTGCAGGAACTACGACCCGAGCGTGGCGTCCGAGTGGAACCCGTACTCCATAGCGATGCAAGCGGCACAGGAAAACCGCACAAGGAACACAGGCTACGTCGCCCACAGCAACGACAACAACTACAGAGGAGGAGGAGGAGGAGGAGGAGGAGGAGGTGAGGGAGAGGACACAGGAGGCGGAATAGGGGCATGGTTCCGCGGAATCGGCGGAGGGGGGGGAGAGCAGCCAGACCAGGAGGGAAGATTCGGCCCACATCAATCCAACGGTTACAATAACAACGGCTACAACCACGGCGGGGGCGCTTCGGCTGCTCAGGGGAGGGGCCGAGGATGGTGGCCAGGGGGTGGTGGGAACGCGGCGGCGGCGGCGGTGCCGCCGAAGGCGGTGCCGGGGAGTCCAGTGGAGATCCAGGTCCAGGCTCTGCTGGACATGGGGTTTGCAGAGGTAACCCTAACCGTAACCCCTAACCCCTTACCCTAACCCTAAGTGCAGGATGTTGTACTCATCGCCGTGTGCATGCTGCAGACGTTAGACCCTCGACCTCGCACCCCTGCAAAGCCGGGAGCGGGGGGAGCGAGGGGTACTTTTTCGTTTCTTAGCTTTGGCGCATGTGAGTATTGATCATGCGTCACCTCCGAAACAAACTGAATGGGGACAGGGAGGGAAGGAAGGAGGGATAGAGGGAGGGGGTCATGCGGTCAGCGTGTGAGGAGTTCGCGCACTACAGATACTCCAACCTTGACGTACCACGTGCGTTATTTTTCGTGTGCTAACCTTGCCTTACCCCCCCTTGACCCCTAGCCCTCCGTTTGCGCGCATGCACCACGTACCCGCCTTTGCCATCGCCGCTCAACGGCCTTTGCGGCGGGACTAGCGGGCGTTGAAAGTCGCGCACTACATATGCTCCATCCTTGATGAAGGTGCTCTGTTTTTGTTTGCTGACCCTGCCCCCCCTCCCCCATGTACCTCGTACCCGCCTTGCCATCGCCATTCAACGGTCTTCTTTTCGCTTTTTGCAGGACGCGGCGAGACTGGCTTTGAGAGCGTCTGGCTACGACACCAACCTCGCCGCGGAGTACTGCGTGACGGGCATACCCCCCGATCGCGCTGCGTCCGTCGCCGCGCTGAGTCCCGCCGCCACCCCCGCCCCCTCTTCCTCTCGTGGCCGAAAGGGCTTGATCGGGAACAACGTTGTTCCCTCCGGCGGCAACAGCGGCGGCGTACCCGCCTGGCGACGCGCATCAGCGGGGGGGGGCACGCAAACCGGCGCGATTTCGAACGGTGGGGGCTACGGGGGTGCGATGACAGCAGCGCGCGGGGGGGCGGCCGTCGATGGGGCGGGGAGAACAACCGGGCTTGACTGGCGAAACATGCCTCGAGCGAACAACGGCGGTGGCGGCGGCGGCGGCGGCGGCGGGGGGGGAGGAACCGTTGACGTCTGATTTCTGTAACGGTTTATACAGTCCTCTGTTGTACAGAAAAAGAGGGAGTAAACGTACGTGCGATGGGGTGTATTGTGTTGTAGTACGTATTGGTAGTGGTTCTGGAGTTTGTTTTGTTCTCAAGCTTTTAATGGGTCCCATCGTTATGCGCGGTCGTCGCCTCCTTGTTTTTTTTTGCTTTTCACCCTGTCGTGGGAAGTTATTGACGGGGAATGCAGTGCGCCTGCTGCAAAGCGTCTGCGGTGCAAGGTGTCGTGGTACAGTAGAGCTATCTCGAAAGTAGATGGGGGGAACTTTTGTGTAGAGATGGCCGCCTTGCTTTATGTAGTGTGGGAATGAGGTTTCTTTCATTATCTTTTTTATCTCCACCCCCCGGTGTTTGCCATCGGGATTGGGTTTTCGTCGCTTGGCAACGACGTTGTAAAACAAGCCANGCACCCTTCATGCGACTCGCCGAATACCTCACGACGCTTCGCGCTTGGTGATGTGTGAGCCTGGTCCGGTGAGAACCCGGCGTGCTCCGTCCCGGCTTTGTAGGGATGCGAGATCAATGGTCTAACGACTATGGCATGCACGACTATGAGTACACCCCCCCCCACGTCCCCCCGATCGGTGGGACAGTTTTTTGTCTTCGCTGCAGTAACAACACTGGAGATGGAGAAGATGCACTGTTTTCGTTTGTCTTCACTTCAAACCAGCGCCCACAGCACGTGTGCCGTTTACTCCAACCCTTGGTCACACAGAAGGGGTTCCTCTCTCTGAGGCCCCCTAGCCACCCCTGTGCTATTGCTCATTGTTGAAAGGTTCGTCGCCTCAACGAGCGAGCGTGATCTCGTCTTCGATACTATGTGTCCACAGGAGCACCGTAGCATAGGATTGATGAATCTCCAGTTTTGTTCACGCGTTGTAGCAATCAACATGGCATGTTGGTTACCTTTGACCATGTTGAGGTTACCTTTGACCATGTTGAGGTTACCTTTGACCATGTCGAGGGCCGCAAGACTCAGGATGACGAATAGCCTGGGCAGCGTTGACGATTTTGATCACACGACCCTGAGTTTCCCCCATTTCTTGGTTATGTGTGTCCACACGCACAACTCATCCTGCCCCCGAACACTACAAAATAGTGTCCGAACGCGCTTCGGGATCCCAAGTAGCGCTATATACTTTCCACAAGCGTCGTACCCAATAAAGATCCTTCGAAGTAAATGGGATACAATGCTTCGAAGTAGATGACAGGATGACTTTCATGGGGGTCGACAACAAAATGATGTGTTCTCATTTGGCCACAGATTCATTTGAGGAGGTGGTGGTGGCCCCAGATATCTGGACGAAAAGATTGGCCGGGGGGCAACCTCTGACTTGTGTTGTAACTTGCAACGTCGGCCTGATACAGGTACATACGTACAATCAACCGTCCGTCTTTTCGCCCGCTCGCGAGCAGAAACATTTTGTTTGGGAGGAGAGACAAGGAGTTTACTTTGAACAAGAAATCGACGGTCAAAAATATATGCTGGAGAATCAAGAAATATAGCGAGAGAAATGGGCTCAGCCATAATATAGGGTGTGCAGCTTAAAAGATTGGTATATTGGCCTGAGCTCAGTCGATAAGATCCTCCTGCTGAAAGCTTCGAGCCTTGTACACGAGCGGACCGTTACCACAGGAAGGTGTACCTAGGTGTCCGATGAGAATATTTAGTACAAGTAAGTTCGCCGATATTTTCTGTCTTCCAAACAAATCAGATCTAATCTAGCGGAGAGCATCGAACAATCTGTCCAAGGAAGGGCGGAATCACTACTAGTAGTCTCCACATCCGAACTCGCCGAAACTTGGACGTGCACGATTCATTTTACGCCCTGACTCCATTGCTTGCTGTTTGGGACAAGCTATGCATATGTACGCATTTATGCATGTAGGTAGTATTCTCTCTCGTGCGTCCTGTACATGTGTAGTCTATGTGTAGTTAGTCATGAATTCCACGGGCAGGTTTAGTACAGTACAATACTGCCAGTATTTTCAGTATTGCAGTACCTTTGGCCATAATATACTGTACTGCACGCTTTAGTACAGCTTTCGATACTGGAATAAAAATACTGCACGCTTTAGTACAGCTTTCGATACTGGAATAAAAATACTGCACGCTTTAGTACAGCTTTCAATACTGGAATAAAAATACTGCACTCTCCAGTACAGCTCTCGATACTGGAATATACTGTACTGGCAGCACGGCTCTCGGTACTGTACTGTACTGGACGCTTTAGTACAGCTTTCAATACTGGAATAAAAATACTGCACTCTCCAGTACAGCTCTCGATACTGGAATATACTGTACTGGCAGCACGGCTCTCGGTACTGTACTGTACTGGACGCTTTAGTACAGCTTTCAATACTGGAATAAAAATACTGCACTCTCCAGTACAGCTCTCGATACTGGAATATACTGTACTGGCAGCACGGCTCTCGGTACTGTACTGTACTGGACGCTTTAGTACAGCTTTCAATACTGGAATAAAAATACTGCACTCTCCAGTACAGCTCTCGATACTGGAATATACTGTACTGGCAGCACGGCTCTCGGTACTGTACTGTACTGGACGCTTTAGTACAGCTTTCAATACTGGAATAAAAATACTGCACTCTCCAGTACAGCTCTCGATACTGGAATATACTGTACTGGCAGCACGGCTCTCGGTACTGTACTGTACTGGACGCTTTAGTACAGCTTTCAATACTGGAATAAAAATACTGCACTCTCCAGTACAGCTCTCGATACTGGAATATACTGTACTGGCAGCACGGCTCTCGGTACTGTACTGTACTGGACGCTTTAGTACAGCTTTCAATACTGGAATAAAAATACTGCACTCTCCAGTACAGCTCTCGATACTGGAATATACTGTACTGGCAGTACGGCTCTCGGTACTGTACTGTACTGCACGCTTTAGTACAGCTTTCAATACTGGAATAAAAATACTGCACTCTCCAGTACAGCTCTCGATACTGGAATATACTGTACTGGCAGCACGGCTCTCGGTACTGTACTGTACTGGACGCTTTAGTACAGCTTTCAATACTGGAATAAAAATACTGCACTCTCCAGTACAGCTCTCGATACTGGAATATACTGTACTGGCAGCACGGCTCTCGGTACTGTACTGTACTGGACGCTTTAGTACAGCTTTCAATACTGGAATAAAAATACTGCACTCTCCAGTACAGCTCTCGATACTGGAATATACTGTACTGGCAGCACGGCTCTCGGTACTGTACTGTACTGGACGCTTTAGTACAGCTTTCAATACTGGAATAAAAATACTGCACTCTCCAGTACAGCTCTCGATACTGGAATATACTGTACTGGCAGCACGGCTCTCGGTACTGTACTGTACTGGACGCTTTAGTACAGCTTTCAATACTGGAATAAAAATACTGCACTCTCCAGTACAGCTCTCGATACTGGAATATACTGTACTGGCAGCACGGCTCTCGGTACTGTACTGTACTGGACGCTTTAGTACAGCTTTCAATACTGGAATAAAAATACTGCACTCTCCAGTACAGCTCTCGATACTGGAATATACTGTACTGGCAGCACGGCTCTCGGTACTGTACTGTACTGGACGCTTTAGTACAGCTTTCAATACTGGAATAAAAATACTGCACTCTCCAGTACAGCTCTCGATACTGGAATATACTGTACTGGCAGTACGGCTCTCGGTACTGTACTGTACTGCACGCTTTAGTACAGCTTTCAATACTGGAATAAAAATACTGCACTCTCCAGTACAGCTCTCGATACTGGAATATACTGTACTGGCAGCACGGCTCTCGGTACTGTACTGTACTGGACGCTTTAGTACAGCTTTCAATACTGGAATAAAAATACTGCACTCTCCAGTACAGCTCTCGATACTGGAATATACTGTACTGGCAGCACGGCTCTCGGTACTGTACTGTACTGGACGCTTTAGTACAGCTTTCAATACTGGAATAAAAATACTGCACTCTCCAGTACAGCTCTCGATACTGGAATATACTGTACTGGCAGCACGGCTCTCGGTACTGTACTGTACTGGACGCTTTAGTACAGCTTTCAATACTGGAATAAAAATACTGCACTCTCCAGTACAGCTCTCGATACTGGAATATACTGTACTGGCAGCACGGCTCTCGGTACTGTACTGTACTGGACGCTTTAGTACAGCTTTCAATACTGGAATAAAAATACTGCACTCTCCAGTACAGCTCTCGATACTGGAATATACTGTACTGGCAGCACGGCTCTCGGTACTGTACTGTACTGGACGCTTTAGTACAGCTTTCAATACTGGAATAAAAATACTGCACTCTCCAGTACAGCTCTCGATACTGGAATATACTGTACTGGCAGCACGGCTCTCGGTACTGTACTGTACTGGACGCTTTAGTACAGCTTTCAATACTGGAATAAAAATACTGCACTCTCCAGTACAGCTCTCGATACTGGAATATACTGTACTGGCAGTACGGCTCTCGGTACTGTACTGTACTGCACGCTTTAGTACAGCTTTCAATACTGGAATAAAAATACTGCACTCTCCAGTACAGCTCTCGATACTGGAATATACTGTACTGGCAGCACGGCTCTCGGTACTGTACTGTACTGGACGCTTTAGTACAGCTTTCAATACTGGAATAAAAATACTGCACTCTCCAGTACAGCTCTCGATACTGGAATATACTGTACTGGCAGTACGGCTCTCGGTACTGTACTGTACTGCACGCTTTAGTACAGCTTTCAATACTGGAATAAAAATACTGCACTCTCCAGTACAGCTCTCGATACTGGAATATACTGTACTGGCAGTACGGCTCTCGGTACTGTACTGTACTGCACGCTTTAGTACAGCTTTCAATACTGGAATAAAAATACTGCACTCTCCAGTACAGCTCTCGATACTGGAATATACTGTACTGGCAGCACGGCTCTCGGTACTGTACTGTACTGGACGCTTTAGTACAGCTTTCAATACTGGAATAAAAATACTGCACTCTCCAGTACAGCTCTCGATACTGGAATATACTGTACTGGCAGTACGGCTCTCGGTACTGTACTGTACTGGACGCTTTAGTACAGCTTTCAATACTGGAATAAAAATACTGCAATCTCCAGTACAGCTCTCGATACTGGAATATACTGTACTGGCAGCACGGCTCTCGGTACTGTACTGTACTGGACGCTTTAGTACAGCTTTCAATACTGGAATAAAAATACTGCACTCTTCAGTACAGCTCTCGATACTGGAATATACTGTACTGGCAGCACGGCGCTCGGTACTGTACTGTACTGGACGTTTTAGTACAGCTTTCAATACTGGAATA